GCTTTACGGTTGGTCTTTGCAAAAACATTTATCAACATAGCAAATAATTCAATTTTAAAAGTTTTAAAGAAATTTTAAAGATATCATTGAAAAATTACTTTTAATGGGGTTTTGTAATTTTTATTTTTATATTTATCGTGTTTTTTTCAAATCCATTGTGGTTTTTCCTCGCCATTACTGGTTAGACTCGCTCTGCTGGCTTATCGCACTAGACAAATGTGTCAGGGGATTCCTTGGTGATAGAAGTGCAAGTGAGTCGCCAGCATCACCCGGATTTTTGAACAGGTTTACTCGTGCGGGGAGTGGGACCTCAGCATCAGCTTTAATGTGAAAACAATCATAAAAGTTGGAAAAATTAAGAAATTCGGCGGAATTATTTTACCTTTCGTGCATAATATAATTAGCAACCGATTCAATTTTACTAATTGGGTTCGCTGGATTACTTTTTAGATACTTGCGTAGTTGTCGCTAAAATAAGAAATTTTCAGTTATATAAATTATGATTTTGAGCAATAAAGGTGAAGGCTTATTTTTCCGAACTTCCGAAGCAAAAGGAGCATCCGAATTTCATTCCAATGTCAATTGGAAGAGGACGTTCGCTGATTTATTTTGACTTTGTCAGTTCCATGGCAGCATGATAAATGGCATTATGACGTTTAATGCGGTAAATTACTGCGATAATGAATTTTGCATACCATTTCAGAATCGCTAATATTCATATTTTCGTAATCCTCTTGCTGATATCGATCTCGCTTTGTTCTTATTGAACTGATAAATAGCTTTTCCTAAAATTTTTCTTCTCAAGATTTTATCAAAATTATTATAATATTAATGGAAAATAGTAAATATTGAAAAGGCAAACAATATTCTTCGACAAAATTTCTGAAAGGTTAATTAAATAAAGATTAATTAGATGGAAAGATAAATTTAAAAAATCCTCACGGTACTATCAAATAATTGCTAACGATTCTTCTCTCCTTGCCCGGTACTATTTAAAATTAATTTACTGCATATGCCAACCAGTCAAAGGGTTGTAATTCATATTTCGATTTCATTTATTGCTATTAGTTAGTTTGTTTGATAACAATTTGGCAGTTGGCTTCGATTCGGAAAATCATTTTAGGAAGAATAAGAAATTTAGCATAATTTTAAACGTACAAATGCACACGAAAAAGCAAAACGTAATCGTTTACAGGAAAACGCAAATGTATTGTACTCCGAATAAATTATATTTTATTTATTTAACTTCATTATGGGAAATATTTTGACATTATTTTGAGGAATTTTATTAAATATAAAAGCTCACCATTGTAAATTTTATTAAAAAATTAGCATAGCACAGAATTATGGCCATCTAATTCAATTTGAGATCTATTTGTCTCTTGCCTTTCCTAAAAAGTGACATTGCCACACTCAGGATGCGCGCATAGAATATGACTAAGAATTTTATGATTGGTAAATATGGACGGATGAGCCAGAGGGGGATAATTTTTTCACTTTGCCGAGGAACGCGAATTTTTGCATGTGATAAGCAATTTAAGAACCGAAAAAGAACCATCTAGTTACTTGGAATTTTCGATAATCAGATTCTAGATAATCATTCTAATCAGGTTGATAAGACCAATCCTTCTGGACAGTACCAGACAGACATTGCCATCAAGACGCTGAAACTGACAAGTATTCTGACAATACAGAAAGCAACATCCCTCAAGACTTTGGGAATAAGAAGAATAAAGATCGTGGGATAGTAAACACAAATCAAAACGAATTATCGAAGCATCTGTGGACCTTTGGGAGGTCAATGAGTACTGATTTTAAGCATGTGGCAATGCACATAATGTGTATTAGAATGGTGAAGTGGTCCAACTGTCCGAAAAAACCCCACAGAATGCATGAGATTTTAATTCGGTGCTTCGAATAATAACAGCAGCAGGGTGAGACAAAATTGTTATTGAAGTAATGTAGCTCTGATATAATCGAAAACTAAAATATTTCGCCTTCATAAAGCAGAAATAATTCAGGAGCTAGACGATCAAATAATTATCCTACTGCGCAGTATGGGAGATCTTCAAGACACTAAAAGTGGTCTACCATCTGTTATTGTCACAACATCAATTGTAAGTGCGACTTACAACGATAATGCTATGAAATATGGCCAATGACAGTGGAAGATAACAAGAAATCATCTAACTTTGATAAGGTATATGCTTTTAAGGTAAATGCCCGGTGAGCGGATAAATTGTACATGGTTTCAGCCACCGTTGTTCTTTTATCATCTGCATTAACAGTATTGTCACAGTGCATCGCCTACGATAACCACGTTCTTTGTCGCATATTAAAGGAATTGCCATGTATCTTGCTACCTGTGAGGGATGCCATCAAATGCAAGGAGCATCAGTCAAGATCTGGGCCAATACAGTTAAGGACAGATTTTGCTTTGGATCACTTAGCGATATATGAGCTTAAGAAGGTCGAAAAAGAAGTGGAAAAAGGTATGGCATTGAACAGCTTGGAAATGCCTGCATACTGGAGAAACCAGCCCAATCAGTAACGGTGCGAGCTTTTAGAAGAAGAAGAAACTTCTGTTGAAACGGCTAATGTGCAATTTTTAGACTGAATAGTATTAATTACCAAATTAATTTTTTACAATTTTTTCCCCTGTGAAAGATTTGATTTATTTATATTTTTCAAATAATTGATTACCGTCTGAATTTGGCCATCAATTGACACTTGAATCGGGGGAATTGAACTGGTCAAACTGTGGGGCGTTCCTATAAAATTAAACATCGACATTTGAGAATTTTCAACTTTATTGTCATTTGTTCAATCGTTAAATATTTGCAGTATTTCAGACTTCTAATACCATTACTTTAAAACCAATGGATTCAGTTTCTGGAATAAGTAAACCTATTTCTTTAATAAATGCACAAAATCTGTCAGATGCCTTGTCTGGTCGTGCAATACGAATTTAGCTATAGGAATTTCCAAACTTTCGATAAGGATGATTTTTTTGGCTAATATGCTTCATTCCCAACTGAAGAAATAGAAATAACGAAAAGAATAAAAGACCTGCACTGGAATTAATTGAATTTTTCGGTGCTGGTGATGGAACAAAAAAATTTTCTTGCCATTTATTAAAATGAATCGCTTCACTGCAAGCAAGCAATAAAAGCTTTTTTATATTTATTATATGACATTAAGTTTTTTTCGATCAGCTTGGATAGGATAGCCGAATGGTTGTTCGGGACAATCATTCTAAAGCTCAGATTATTATGCATACTACAAGATAACCGTTCAGCTTCTGGCCCTAATAGAAATACTTCTGTCGTTAAAAAGTGCAGTGGCAGTGGCTACTCAATTATATTTCTATTGCCTAGTGACCCTCTGGCACTATTTAGTCAAAGGGCCTAATTGGTGAACGCTAGCCACTGAATTTTTATTTTAAGACTCCTCATTATTACTGGTTAAACTCGCTCCGCTGGCTTGTCGCACTGAACAAATATGGCAGAGAGTTTCTTGGCGATGCAAAATACAGGTGAGTTGCTAGCACTACTCGGATTTTTGCACAGGTTTACTCCTGAGGGGAATCGAGCCTCAGCATCGGCGCTCCCAATTCAACAAAACCCACCGAGCCATTCTATCCCAGGTAAAGTTCTAGCTATTTGGAAATAAAATCTCTTGGAATTTCTTTTTTCGTTTCTATTAAAATAAAAACAAAAGAAGGTTTAATTAATTAGAATGTTTAAGTCGTTTCAAAATATTTCAAAAGATTTTAAAACAAAAATACCTGCATTTCTTTTGGTTTAAAAGTGTTCTATCGGAATTTCCAGTGCAAATATTAATCGTAAAATCATCGTAATCCATTGTTTGATCTCTTTCCACCTCATTCGATTCTGCTAATCAAGATTAATTGAGATTGCATTAATTCAAAAAAATTTAATTCAATATTTAAAAAAGATTATTTAAGCGACCAATTATAAATTCTTAAACCAGTTTTGAAATGAAAATTTTGTTGAAAAATTTTTATGCAAAATCTTAATTTTCCGAGGCTAAAATAAAGAAGGCTTAAGTGATATATAATGGCTGAGAAAAGTAGCAACTCGACATTTTGCTGAAAAACGAAAAATCCATCGATTCTTCATTTTTTTATAATTTCCTGCTATAGTTCCATTTGCAAAAACATAGTTCGCATAGAAAATGAATGACATAAACCAGGGTTTCTCATTTCTTCCTTGCATTAACCGACTAAAAGAAAAATGTCTTTCCCATCGAACCTATTAGGATTTTCGCTATTCCAGAACATTTTGCGTATTATAATATATAACATATAACATATGTATTAAAGGAAGTTTTTTATGAGTATATGCTATGTTAAAAAAATATGGAATTTTCATTCGAATTCAAAAAATCGCTTTCTCACTCCCTATGGATGATATATTATAAGCTATTCTCAACCTGGGGTCCTCTATCAAAGGCTTGGGAGCTTGAGAGTTCTGCAGTTCCACTATCAGTGCGCTATTCTGGATAGAGATCCTTGATGCTATTCCTGGAATCTGCTGAAACCATTTTTCTAGCTTAGGGTCATAGTTTCAAGTCCTGCAGTTATCTCCGGGATTACTTTGGCTTTTACTTCCCAGGTCTTCTCTAGTTTTTCTTTTCAGCCCCTCTATTTCTCTAACTTCTCATATTTCTTCATAGATTTCTGTTTCTTGTCTATTACCACGATATCTGGTTGATTAGCCGGCACTTGTTGTCTGGATAAAAAAGTTCCACAGGGTCTTAGTCTTGTTCTTCAATAACTTCGACGTCAGAACATTTATATGAATATTTTTTCATTAAGTTCAAATTTTATCAAATTTCAAAAAAAGTGCAATAATTATTTGGATTGCCCATTCACGCTCAATCGATCCGCACAGTTCCAGTCGACCCCTAATCAGCTCTCCGAAGTCCTCCGATCCTCAGAGAGTCGAATAGGTCTCTATCGTGATTTAAACCAACAATCATATGATTATGAAATATTTCTGTTTTAAGGTAAACCAACCGTTCGGTTTCTCGCTATATGTTTGCTGATTTTTCAGAAATGGCAAATTCAAATGAACTGGCGATAATGGTTTATGCAGATTGTTTCCTAATTTATTGCCACATTCTCCCTGAAAAAAATCAAAAAATTTGCAAAATTTATTTGTGTCAATTGAGCAATTGATATTGCTTGCAATACCATCAATCGTTATGCAGTTAACGTCCTTTTTAAAATTATTGCACTATTCATTATTCTTTTTTTTCTTGTTTAACATCATTCTGGCCGCACTGACCATTAGGATGGTACTTCTTTTCGGAAGAATCAAGTAGGATCAGATTTGCATTCAGTTCTCCAGTACCACTCAAAATTCATTTTAACACGAGGTTTCTTCCTTCTAACCTACTATGGCTTGATGCTAATTGAACCTTTAGGCCACTCGACCACATTATCACTTTTCCTTCTTTATAAATTTGAATTTTGTATTTGTAGTTAAATTTGATGAATATTGCTTGAATTTATTGGTTTTACGGAAATCAAACGCTTCAACGATATTAGATGGTCTTTTCATTTAAAAATTTATCATAAAATTTTGATACACTGAAAAGCGTATCAATTTCCCGATATAAAGCAATATAGGCGCATAATCGTTGTTTAAAATAATTCGTTAAATTGAGTGCCACTTCTCGCGATCTCTGAAAAGAAAATTTAGTCAGAAAGAAAGAAAGTTTGAAGGCCAATTTGATTTTACAGAGATATTTCATGAAATCTGTTAAATCCCATAAATAAGGCCACAATTATGACAATATAAAACATTATTAAAATATATTTTCTTCTCAAAATTTATATCGAAAAAATTTGGCGAAAATTGTCTGAAGAGAAATGATGTTTCTTGAATTATCTGCAGAAATAAGCAATAAAAAAAGAATCAAAAAAATGCAATAAAAAATAATTCAATTTATTTATCATGGACCAGCAATAATTGGTTTCATTTTTCCTTAATCATTTTTAAAATTAATTCGAAAAAATTATTAAAAGAAAAACTATGAACAAATGGCGTAACAAATATAATAAATAAAAAATGTGGTCGCCTGGGGCTTTTTTCTTTCCAACAAAATTTGAAATCGAACCATGAGATTTTCAATTTGAATCACCAAAACATATTTAAACTCGACGGATGTTGGTAAACATTGTTTGAAGAACGAAACTCGTTTGTAATGATACGGTTGTGGAAGTAACGAGCAAATAAATCGAGCTCCAGTCCACGTTTTCCAATTTTTTTCAAACTTTTCTGTCGCCATATCTTCGAATGTCTTATAGGTCAGAACAAAATATCCTAAATTTTGTTAAATGCAAGACGTTCATGTGCAATTCTCATTTCTATCCTTCGGATCTTTTGAAATCAGTTGAAATTTCATATTTTAAGAATGCAGCTGCGCTTCTTTCCAAGCCAAATACTGAGAAAAAACATTCTACGGACAGGTAAAACTCATCGAATAATAATGTATTCGGGATTCCCTGTATTCTTCAATTTCTCGCTCATATTCGCCATATATTCCTTTAAATTTCTTCGCATTTCGATATACTGCTTTAACACTCCCCAAATTTTTATCGCAATCACATTTCCAGCTATTTTCGTTCTAATTTGACACTGCGAAATTGACGGAGTGTTGGGGAAATACGACAGGGATGGTGAAATTAAAGGGTCACAACCTAAAATGAAACACTAAGATTTAAGTCGCAGAAAGATCACAACTGATTATGTCAAAAAACTTATGGAAGGGGCATTTAACAGGATTTAAACAAGCTTTAGCTAAGCCCTAGGAGATTTTATCAGTTTACTGAATCGAGATTCCCAAAGTTGAGGCGCTATTCGTATTTTTTGCTAAATCCCCGAGCAAAATTTCTAGCACAAATTTTTTCGACTCATTTTGGTCAGTTTAGGAATTAATTATTACTGAAGCAAATTATTTCACTCACTGAACAATCCAGGCACAGCTTAAGGCCTTTTGCTTCCGATATTAGATTTCAGCATTACCAAAATAAAAACCTTTTTACAAAAAAGCTCTAAATTTTAAAAATTTTACAAATGTACTTGAAATTCTTTTTTAAAACGCATCTGAAATTAAATGAGGTTATAAATGATTTCATCCAAATGCGCTCCAGTTCGTCATGAAACATTTATTATTTATTTTATACATTCTCTTCTATTGTTCTTTAGTGCACGTGAAAGACGGCACTGCTTGCTTGCTTGCTTCCGACGGCACATTAAAACAAAATCTTTTGAATATTTAAAAAGTTAAAAATGCTTTGCCGAAATTATTTATGGCGATAGACCTCAAAAAAAGATACCTCTGAGCAATCGGGCGTCAGTTATTGCATTGTTCTCTTAAAGAAGAATCATTAATCGCCCAAAAAGTAAATTTCTGGAAAAAGCATTTCTTGCGTAAAATAACGATTTTGAAGAAAAAGTTACCTTTTGTTTGGTCTCTTTCATCTTCACTGAGATTTCTATTTGCTGGCGCAGAGATTTGATTTGCGATTTGCAAAAGTTCGTAAAAACCTGCATTTGTTCTTTCTTTTAATGGAAATTAATGGAAAAAATAATTTAATAATACAATATTTAACAATATTTTAAAGAATTGCAAAAAACCTAAAGATAGAGCGAAATTCTAAAACTGAAAATTTTTCGTAATAATTATCGGAGATATGACAAACCACTTTGATAATTTGCATGATGCTGAACGGTATTTATTTTTTCGAGATTTAAGGGCAGTTGACTCGTTAGAAAACAAAAATCCAGTACGGGATATTCCACTGTAACTTTTAATTAAACAATTTTAAAATTTTCAATTAAATTTTTAATTAAATAATTCGTGGTTACTGTCAAATTTTAAATAATTCATTAAATTAATGATAATAATCATCGAATACAACTAATTCCTTTTAAAATTTACGTGAAATGGTTTTGACAAATATTAGTTATAAATATAGTTATAATAATAATATTAATAATAATAAACAACAATGGTAAGCAATAATAAGTAACGATAATGATAATCAAAATGTTTGACCGAGTTTTTCCACACTTTTCAATCTCATAAATCGAAGTATATTTGTATCTCTCAGTAAATTTTCATAATTGTCCATAACGTTGGGCATATCATCAACACAGTTTATCATATCATCAATATCTAATGTGCAATTCCGTTGTGTCATTGATAATAGTAAATATTTCTAAAATATTGTTAGCAATTTTTCTTGGCATAAAAACTGACTGACATTTAATGCATTCTTGTATTAAATTTTTTTGAAAACTGAATATTTCTTTAAATATTTCAATTGAATATGATTCGTTTGAAGATCAGCTGATCGCTCTTTTAGTTATTTATTCTTATAAGTAAATAAAAGTCCAATTATAAATAGAAATCATAAATTAATTAAATATTTTTATAAAAGCAGTAATAAAAAATGTAAGAAACAAATAAACTGGCGAATAATAAAGCTTACTTGTTGGTTATATGTGACCGGCATCGCGAAAAATTTTAAGAATTTTAGAAATATAAATTTTCAAAAAATTATATTTTAGAAGAATTTCCCCTATTGATAAATAATAACAAAAGAGTAATAGCAAATGGAATTTAAGGTGTTTCTGTTCATTTACAGGAAAATTTGCAATATTTATAGAAAATTATGAATATTGCAAAACGCCTTAACGATTCAAATGGTTCGTTCACAATTTCCATTTTTCCTAATTCAACCAAATATTATTAAATTTTTAAGAACGCGAAAATTCCAAATTATCCGATATAGTTTACAATTCAATTATCTCCAAACGAATTTTTTCATCTAATAAAACAAAAGACCAGCTTTTTTAAAGTTTTCTCGGTTCTTCAGTTCAAACAAATGAGAAATAGCCTAAAACCTCTAAAAAATTTCGGAGCCAATCGTGAATTTATTTCTTTCGGCGATTGGAAAAATATTTTACAACTATAAGCTATAAAGTTGAAGTAACTTCCCGCGTTGTCGGAAATATTCAAGGACTGTCTTTGCCTGTCTGAGGACTCAAAAATGAAGGCAAGCAATAGAAATTTTTTCAATCCCTCAAAATCCATCATTTCATATATTTATAATTCTTTCTCATCTCAGACCTCCTTTCTAATAGTTGCTGTATTTCTTTTCATCCCAACCGATAATAATGGATGTGATTCGATAAAGACAGAATTTTAAAGAGGCATAATTTAAAGGATTTTGAGGGCGAGGAAATTATAACAGGATTTGAAGAAAATTAAAGATGGGGTGGCGCAACTAATGGGACATGGCTAAAAAGTATAATGAGCACAGAAATAGGGGGAAGGCGATTGCAATTTCAAAATTTGTGGCTATTTATACGATAGTAAAAATGGACCAGAAGGCTTAACACAGCATTAAAGAAAGTGGAACTGAGAAACTATAGGGATAAAGTAGAAAAAAAATTAAAGCTGTGGAAAGAAGTTCAAAATGATGCTACAAACAAATTATGGCAGAAAGGTTTTGACGACGTTAGAGAGATGTTTTATAGGAATTCCCACGAAGAACGAGAGATTTTAGAGGATATCGAGAAGCTTCATACGGAGAACTGAGGTTTAGAAAGCGGCTTATGAAAAACCCAGTAATGAGTTTTTAATCAGTGGAAAGAAATTTTGGCACCACGAAATACCATATTAGCGAATTAATATTAAACATAGTGCAGCGAAGTGAACTTATTATTAATGGTGCCTGCCTCTCAAGTTTGGAATAAATGGCCCATGGCACTGCGAGGTTTGACTAGGCATCAGTAGAATTTGTAGCGGCTTAGAGATGCTATATGCGATAAATTATATACAAGTAATGGAAATCCGAAGGAATTTAAGGATATAAAATATGGTTATAAATAAAGTAGGACGAAATTCAGGAAGAATCGCATATGTTGAATAGATGATCTCGTAGTTCGGCAAGAATTTTGACAAATTTGACAGATTTTGGATGAAATATACTTTTGAATTTTAAACTTTAGATTTTCGAGCAGTCTTTTTCGACATTAACGCACATAATTCTCGCAGATATCCGCACAAAACTCACACATATATACATACATTTAAAAATATATATATATATGTGCATTACAATTACATAAATGTATATATATACGTGCACATATTTATATATATATATATATATAAATGTACATATATACGTGCATATATATATATATATAAATTATAAACATGCACATATATATATATATCCTTTTTTCATTGACGAGTTTTTTTCATAAACCATAAACGTATAGCATAAACCATGAACCATTTTTTCATAAACCATAAGCTATGGAAATAGTTTATATCAAATGTCAAATAAACTTATAAATTTATAAATATATAAGAAAAACTGATTAATAACAAGTCTCACTTGTTTGAAAAAACCGTAATGGAGTGATTAAGAATAAAAAAGAAATGCGAAGTAGTACTTTGTATATATGCTGCTGAATAATACCACTAGGTGAATAATAGGAGGAAATCAAGCACTGAGATGAAAATAAATACAATAAAAGCATGATGGCACATTATGCAAAATATTTTACAGGCTTTATACAAACTACAAATTGTTTCAATTACTCGTTCCATAATTTTAGATATACAGAAATATTTAAGACCAAATAAAGAAGTATGAAAGACAAATCACATAAAGTTGGAGAGGTAAGAAATAAAAAAATAAAAAGAAATGTAAAAATTACCTCAATGATCAAGAACATTTAAAATAATTCAACAAAGTGACGAACTAAAAAATATATCATCACAATAAGCATATCACTAAATAATGTATTATGCAGGAATATATATATATATATACAAACTAATATATGACCCTCTCTTGAGCTAGAAATCAGCTGAAAGGCAAGAATAATGTGGTTTTTTTTAAAATAAAAGTAAATTAAACGAAAAGCGAAAAACTTTAAGATTTAAGAGTTTTAAGATCGAATAAATGGTATATATCGTTTCAAAGTTGCCTTTCGATTTTGTTGGCGATCACTGGTTTCGGGTGCTTGAAGAACGCCAAGCTGAGCTTGGGTTAAATAACAAAATGTAGAAGCAAGAGCCAATCCAGAAGTGCCGTAAGGAGTAAATTGGCGCCCACCCGTTGGTAAACGTACAGCCAATGTAAATACACCCACACGATAATTACTGCATGGTTCAATTGAAATTGGTGTGGCCATCTGCAAAATCAAAAAAATTGCACTCTTAACATCAACGGTCAACTTCGTCAAGCAAACTGGATATTGACTTACTAGATTTGCGCGCGGACAAGTAAGTTCTAGTCGAACTGAAGCAAATGGACGTGAAGCCATCTGTTCAATTTCATCGTACCGCCTTTGATTTCTTCGAAATACTTCAATTCGAAGCTTAATCATCCATAGAAGACCCGCAACTACAAGAAGAACCACAAAGCATCTAAAATTTCTGACCGTATGAAGATAAAAATCAATAGTTCTAATTTTCTAGCTTAAAAATCTAATAGTTCTATGTAAAGAAGAAAATTAGATAACCAAAGAAAATGGCACTTAAAAAAAAAATTTGCAGCCTGATATTATTAAATTCAATATATCCCGTACAAATGAAAATATTTGCTGCTGTCCAAAAAAAAATTTCAAGAAATAAACTTACGCAGCAAAAATTACAAAAAATAATATCCAATTAATTGGGGGTGATTGGGAAAATGATATTTGAATCTTCATAGGAGTAGAAAAATTGTAAATCGTCACCTGTAAAAAAAGTTTAAACTGTAGATTCAACTGTAGATTTCAACTTCAATTTCACAGAAAACCAAAAAAAAACTATAATACCACAAAATAATGAAAATTAACTAATCTAAGAGAAAAGTCAAATAAAAATTTCAAAATTAAATAGTAAAATCTTTAATTTGGCTGAGACTAGTGGAAATAATAAAATATAAAAAATTGTTGTTGAAATATGCTAGACTAAAAAAGTCCTTTATTCAAATTTTTATTTCAACAAAATTTCGATTATTTCTTTTTAAAAACTTTAAAACACTCTTAATAAATGCATACCAAAAATGTAGTATTAGCATCGGTTCCAAAAAAAAATCCGGGTTCCGCATTTGCACTATATGTCCTTCGAATACCGTTTTCATCGCAAATTGTTCGTGCCATTAAAGGCTTACTCATTCCCGGATGACCTTCGAATAAAGATGAATTGATACTCATAGAAACTAGGGCTTTTTCCATTTTAGATGATTCACAGACTACCATAAACTGAACGTCTGTATCGCGCTGCAAATCAGATGAACTGAAATATTTTTAAAAAATTTTAGACATTTCAGTTGATGGACAATATAATTAATTTCATTTTTCCAAAAATACCTTGTGCGGAATACTAAAAAAATTGATTTGATTGACATATTTATCTTTCGGATCATCTTGATCCAATTTGAAAGTGAAAATGAAATCCACAGTAAGTTCATCTATAATTCATCTATAACAAGCTTTTCATATTTCAATACAAATAAAGAACTGGAGAGGTATGTAAAAAAAATAAAGACAACAAAAGAAAAAAAATTTTTGATAGAATGGTTTTATGGCCTTATTTTTGCAGATTACAGATATAGCTGGATTTGGATATCCATTTAATGCTTTGACTCATTTAAACAATTTGCTACAAGAATATTAGTCAAGTTTGATAGGAATTTATTAGGAGACAGAATTTAGCAGAACAGACAAAAGACCAAGAATTTATACAAGAATTTACTGAGATGTGCGTGCATAGTTGTTTATGTGTGTACGCATATATTTGCCTGGAAAAGATAAATATGTATCTTTAAAAAAATCTGCCACAATTTGTATGCCCAGTCTCTTATCAAACACTTTTTTCAAATTCCTCTAATTTCGTTATTATATTTTAATATTTCGTTTAACTCACTCACTCACCTTTTTCCCTAAACTGTTAGTAACATCCTCTTAAACCCCCGATAACCTTCTTTTAGGCCTCTTTCACATCTCTCGTATGCTCTCTTGATGCTCCAAGAAACTTCATGGCACTCGTTTTATTATCATGTATTAAATATCTCCTCTTTAATTCCTTGTTAATTTCCTCAGAATTTCCTATTGTAATCACATCTCTTCTTTATCCTTTTTAATACTCTGACAACCATGTTCTACAAAAACCCAATAGTAGCATCTCCTTAAATTCATTATACCAACTTCAATTTAATGAATATAAACCCTGCACGGTGTCTCAACATACTGCTAAATCTAGCTATATTTCTATTCCTATTATTACTATTTAAAACTCATTATAATATGAAATTTCGGTCCGCCATTTTGAATCTATTTGAAACCTGCTTTGTGACCCTACCAAATCATTTAAATAGTTCCAAATCTCCATTGCCTTCCTTTGCCGGAATCCTTTGGCGATTTTATCTTAAAGCTTTAATATGCTTTAGGGAGAATTATGGAGATATTCAGTGGCAAAAAATAGTAAACTATGGTTTGTAGGGTCGCTAAAAGAATTTTGATATTAAGAGATAATACAACAGGATTTGATAATAATTCTGGGGAGATTATCTGGAGCAAAATGATTTTTTGAAATAAAAATCTTGATTACGATTTCCTGAAGAAAAAAATTACCTACTTAAATAAATTAAAAATAAATTCTGACGAAATACCAGCTGGATAAGAAGCAAAATTTCACGAAACTTTTACAAAAAAAGTCTGAAAAAAACTCACAATAACAAGGCTGATTGTTTTCAGGATCACCAAAGTATTTCTGGTCACATTTATTACAAGTTCTTCCCGTCACTCCTTTAGTAGTACAGAAACAATCACCTGTTTCCCGATGACAGTTCGTTGCTTGGCCATTACAACGACACTCTACGAAATATTAATGGAATGTTGAAGCATTAAGTAATTATAAGTTTATAAGTATATAAGTAATTAATTATTTCTTAAAAATAGAAATCCTTATTACCAATAAAATTTGAAACCTGTAGTCCCATTACAAAAAACTTTTTCCTAAAATTGGGAAAATATAAGAAAAACATGAAAATTATTCGAAATTTCGTATTGCCAGATACTAGGTGATCATTGGCCATTCTCATTAGAAAAAAGAAATCATATTAAAGAAATCATATTGAAAAAATACTACAATAACTTAGGAAATCACCTTCACATTTCCCACCATTTCGAGCATCGCCAAAAAATCCGTCTGCACAATACTGACAATGTTCACCAGTTGTATTGTGAGCGCATGATGTACAAGAATGTTCATCAATCCAGTTCTCTAATCTTTTTTTCATAGTACAATTACTGTGACCATTGCACTGGCAAGCTAAATACATAAAACGGAATGAACATAAATAAATGAACATAAATAAATAAAAATCAAAGTTTTAAAAAATAGTGAAACCCAAAGGAACCTGAGCAAGTCGTGAAATACCATTTTGATTTTCCATTAGTCGGGCAAAGTGATTTATTGAGTGGGGCGTCCAAATTCCCCGGAATGCAATTCCCTAAACCTGTTCCTGAGCCATCATCGCACCAACCGCATTTCGGACCAACTCGTTGACATTCACCACAAGTTTTTTGTTTTGAACAATCCGAAGGATCTGAAATTAAAGCGATATTAATTTAAGGTATATTAACAAAACTGAATGAGCACATTTTTGAGCACCAGAAATGAAAATGGCAATAAAAAAATGCAAAAAAAGAATCATCATGCAAAATATTTCAATTAACAAATAATAGCGATATCCCAAAATCTTTACAAGATAAAAAGTAGAAAAAAAACGAACCAAGTTGACAGGTACGTTGATTACTGAGAGTATTTGCTGCGGTTATCCATGACTGACATTGCCCATAAGGAAAACTAATCATATATGCATCCATACGAACACATCTTCGAGTTGTCGGACACCACATACACTGATTTTTAATGCATTTGTCACAACCATCATAATTAGAACATGGCATTGGACAAGAAGCATTTCTAACAGTGTTTAATACTGATAAAGTTCGAGCAGAAGATTCAATCCTTTCTCCATCGGCATGATTTTCTTCCAAACCTATTTCTAAATAACTGATTCCTTGAGAATCATTGATAAATAAATAAATATAAATACGTTTTCCTCAATGAATGATAAAAAATTATTGAAAAATTATTCATTTTCACAAACTGGATTATAAAAATTATGCAAATTTGAAGTTAAAATCCCTTTCATACTTACTTCAAAAATCCAATTGAACGAAAAAGCAATTAGTTTCTAGATTAGTTTCTAGATTAGCCGTGAAAAGAATATTTTATCAAGGAAACAAAAATCCTTAACTTAAAGATGACTTAAATCCTGATTTCTTTTGCTATACGATATTTTGCTATAATACAACAGAACCTTGTATGCCTATACATTTCCATTTTGCATCTTTCATAGGATACCATATGCAATGATTTAATTGTCTGCACGAAAAACATTCATGGGCGAATGAACACGGCCGAAAATTTCCATTTTTGGGGCAAATATTTGAAGATAATACAGGCATCGAAAAATCACGACATAAATTATCATTGTCAAGAGTAATGCACTCGCTGCTCAAATCACACCATCCACATCCTTCGCTCGATATACATGAAAGACAATTTTTTTCCTGGCCGCAGTAAGTATTTGGCCTGTAATTTTTGATTTTATCAAAACCACTAATACGGAAAAAAACAATATAATTTTCATTTTATAAAATTTATGGGTCAAGAACTGATTTCTGCTAAAATAATAATCTAAAAATTCGATTTATTAAAAACATGATCGGTATAAAAAGTATTCTTGATGAAAAAATTTATAAAAACGACCTTTTCCAATTTGTAGGACATCGCTGAGATTCTTCCTTTGAGATTTCATGTTTCGAAAAAAATGACGGTCGGGTATAACCTGTGTCAGCCGTCATTGGTTTACAACTACCAGAACTATAAACGCATCTAATTCCTTCGTGCATATTACGGCAATCATCGGGTCTTTTGAGATCTTTACATTTGGCTTAAAAAGAAAGTTGCGAGATTTTGCGTATTTGAAAATTTCAATTATATATTTTGACGAAAATCAATAAAATACATTCCTATAAAAAAGAAAGATCTAAAAACTTCAACTATTATTCTTCCAAAAGTTTAAATATGTTAAAATATTTAAATAAAAATATGTATCACCAAAGATTAAAGACTCAATTTTGTGAAATTTTGTAATATATTGCACCTCATTTAAACAATATTTAATTAACCATGTTGATTATAAACCATCATTTTCGAAAATGGATAGAATGATAATTCAAATATGTACCAGGAGTAAATTTAATTATATCACTCAGCATAGTCCCATTAAATCCACCAAATATATAAATGCTATCCCTCGCTGCAACTGAATCGTGTCCATACCGCTCCAGAATTTTTGATTTTGAATTGACAGATAGACTGAACCATGTATCACACTCTTAAACAGTTATTTTGTCCAATTTAATTTTACTAGATAGTTTTAATAATCTCATAATTGAAAATTTCGCCAAAAAGAAATTTTAAGAAAGTAAGAACTTCAAGAAATCTGAAAAGCCAGAAAGTGTACCAATATCATAAGCCTGAACTTCTGTTGAATAACAATCATTTGTTCTTGTTGAAGTTGACTCATTGTGCCCATTACCACCGATAACAATCATCATACCATTTAACAAAGAAGCTGAATGCCGAAATACAGGAGCAATACCCCATGAAAGAATCCGATGCCAGCTGAAAATAAAAATATTAAATAAAAATTATTGTCCAAACGAAATAATGGCAAAAATAAAGATAAAAATAATTTATAGCAATAAAAATACTAAGTTTTCAAAATCAGATTTTCAATAGCGAAGAAAGAATTAAAGTAGAATTAATGGCAGATCAAACAAAATTTAAATTACATTGTAGCAATAAAATAATGATTTGCAAATAATATAAACACAAATAACACCAAACTATGAGTTTAATGAATTCTAACATATTTTCAGCCTTGGATTGAAAATCCTCAATATATATTTTAAAGAATAGAACTGGATTTATAAAAAAATTAAAGAGGAAAGAATAAGTAGGAATTTTTAGAAATGGAATTTAGGAAATTTCCTCTAAAGTAATAAAAGTGATAACAATTTTGTCTAAAACAATTGTATTTTGTAACAATTATATAACAATAACAAATTATATATACAATGATATTACACAAATAACAATTATAAACAATTATACAAGAATGCTCGAAAATTTACCACTGATCACTTCCACATTTATATTCAATAAGCATATTGGTGACACCTGAATAACCGCCTTCATTTGATGGCACATAACCACCATAAATTAATATTATATTTTTTTTGTCTTGAATATAAGATATTAAACTATGACCAAAACGACCTTGAATGTGAGGCCCCGTGTCATCGGAAATGCTCCAAACCTTTGTACCTAAAAAAAAACCATTATTAAAATGAAAAATTATTATTAAAATTAATAAAAATTAAAGGAAAATTTCAAAATTTTTTGATAGGATTCTTTCAAAGATTTGAATTCACTTCAGCAAATAATGAACGATGATGCCGAAAATCTTCCGCTAAAAACTAAAAAAAAACCTACATTATGCAGAGGTATGCGAGGAAAAAAGTTATTATAGATAAAATTATTAAGATAATACCTAGATTATACTTTTGCACTCTATAAACATATCCATAATACGGGTTATATCCAAAAAACACAAACATCTCATCGCCAATAACATAAGCTTTATGACCAGCGACAGCATAGGGTAATTCATTAGGGTTTGAATTTCCAGAATGTTCAAGTGTCCATGTATGAATTAATAAATCAAACGACCACAGTTCATTCGTTATATTTCGATCATATATTACACCGCCGAACATAAAAAGTTTATTCTAAAATTTGAAAAAATTCTTGCTTTATATAGTAAAGGAAATTTGTTTTGTTTTTCAAAAAAATAAAGCTATTATGGCCAGCTTAAAAACCTTAAACACAGGAGATATTAAGATATTAACGAAAACTGTGGTTAATTTCAAAAGTCAAAGCCAAATATATATATATATATATATATATACAACGAATATATAAATAAATTTATCAGTTATTGCAAACCTTGTATTGAACAAGTGAATGGTCGTATCTTGAAACAGGAGAACTGGAAATATCCGGAATTTTCCATATTGAATTTGAAATATCATAAATAACTTGAAAATATGAAAATTTTGAACCTAAGAAATGCGTGCCACCAACAACGAAAATTACACTATCATTTAATAATACAGAGGTATATGAGGCTCTACCTCCGATTTCATTATGAGTTAGCACCAAATCGAAAACAGGCGAAGTCGTTGGGGCTTGGCAGTTATCACCTAAAAGTTATTCTTAAATAATGAATAATTCTTGCATAAAAAAATAAAGAATTAAAGAATTAAGAATTCTTGCATAAAAAAATAAAGAAAAAAAATAAAAAAAATAAAGATATATATATATGAAGCATTAAAAATTGACATACGAATTCGAAAATTCATTTAAACAGAAATCTAACCATGAAATCTACGATTACAGACACATTTAAGAGCTTCATTGCAATACCCAGACGATGTACAAGCTTTAGAGTTGGGCAAACCAACATCTTTCTTGGCGCAAATTCGCCTTTCACACGTCATACCAATGAAACCATCAAAACATTTGCAAACACCATGCAAGCAGATTCCATTTTTCGAACAGTTTGCAGGACATCTCCCATAAGAAAAACTTATATTAAATCCAGGCATGTTAAAAGCCAAATCGCTGAAGAAATACACAACAGCTTTGCCTGATTTCACAATCAACTCAATACCCGACATCATTCCGCTACAAAAAAAAAAACAAAACAAGTATTATTTAATTAGAGTCTATAAAAATATGAATTTAAACTTTGTTTCAAAATTTTGACACGTTAAAATAAAAAATATAAATCTTTTCGAAATTTTCATTTTGAAATTAATGTAAATAATAAGTAATACCGAAATTTTCTATCTTGAAATTTATATAGAGAAATTTAACGACAGTGATAAAAACAATACAAAAGAGTGGATTCAAGATTGTCAAGATGATAAATGGAGACAAGCACTGTGCGAAAAACTTTCGCAATTTGTTTAAAACTAGTTTTTAACACTCGATTTTTGAGAATTCCTAAACGCTACCATTTCAAAGCGAAAAATTCAAAATTTTACGAAAAATTAATCAATTTCAAGAAAATTTTCGAAGAATTGAATCTAGAATCGATAAATTATTATTCGAAAATAAAAAAAAAAGAAATACCTAAAAGCAGCAAGCTGTTCACCATAAACACCATTTCCATCATAAACATAAACATGATCCCAACTGCATTCTGTGACGAATGAATCAAGCCTTAACAATAATGTAGTGTTATACACATCATTACTAATCATCCACATACATCGAGATGATGAACTATAATTTTTTGGACCATCAGTCAATATTTCCGATTCATCAGACAATCTGAAAGGCAATAATCATTCATTCAGCACTCTATAAGGTTTATTCGGAATTGCATAATTGCACAGTTCAAAAAGAGAAGAATATTACCGAATATATTGAATTCATAAAATCGGAATATTATTGAATTCATAAAATCGGAATATTTTTTTATTAAAAACATCATTTTCAATTTTGCGAAGATCGTTTTATCAATTAAACAATTAGCTAAAAAAATATTCAATACCTTTTAAATAAAAAGGCTTTAATTGCCAAAAAGGACTCACAAACTGCGTCCATAGCAGTGATCACACTGTTGTCCACCCCACCCAGCAAAACATCGACATCGCCCTCCCTCGCACTTGCCTTGATAACATGGCTTATTATCGCAGTTTTTCGAAATGGAATTCGCTCCAGCTCTGGAATTCTTTAAAATTCGACGACCGCCATCACTGGTTGAAATAGAAAATCCAAGTAAATCCTTTATATTAACTCAAAAATGCAATCTAAGCACTAAATAGCATTTAACTTAGCATTTATAGTAAATTTAAGCTTCGCTTCGCTTAAAATGCAATTCTTTCGGAGAGTTTCGCTAAAGTTTACCGTCGATCTTCGAATTAAAAATTAATTATACAAAACGATTGGTTATTTTAGTAAAGTGGGAAGCGAGATTTCTTCGACATTCAAACTACATAATTTAGGTTTAATTTTCGAAGAAAACGCTAAAAACAGACGAAACAAAAAATTTAAAAACGAACCTTTCAATGAAAACACTCGTTTCGCATGGCAAATAATAATTATTAATTAATACAAAAATTAGAAAAATAAACATTTTTTAAATTATTTTTGGTTTCATTTCTTTCCATAAATAACTTTTTTCGCCAATTTTAACTATTAACGTCGACTTTTTCTGACAGATTAAAGGGATTTTTAATTGCAATTAAGCAACGATAATAACATTAATAATAATTAATAATGCAATAATAATTCATAATTTACATTTAAATAATTAGTGAACGAAGCGAAATTAAAGACGTCGAAGGATCGATGCAGCGAGACAGGTAAAAAGTGCGATATGCGGACGCTTCAGCGATGCGACGCGCCTTTAAGCCACACCCAACACGAGGGTTTAAAATATACTTGCATGGAACCAAAGCAGGTATTCGCAGAGGTTCAGCCTTCAGCTACTTAATTCTTAATTCTTTCAGATCTTGTCCTTCTCCAATTACTTAGTCCCTCGTCCGACTTTCCCCGTTGCTTACCCTCTCGTTTGATGAAGAAAAAGAACATGAAACGAGAATTCTTTACGATTCGGACGAAACGTTTTCTGGTCCACGAATTTGCACGTGGAGAAATTTCTTTGTTTTCTTTATTAGTCTTTTTGATGAAACATTTTTCATTTTGCATGAATATGCAACAAGTTTGTCACCAACAGCAACCACACTGTATTTTATTTTATACATTTAAAAATGTTATTCTTAAAAGAATCCATGCAGCTCATATACTCTATGAAAGGACTTTAATGGCTTCACAGCGCTGCGAAAAAGGATCCAAAGGCTTCGCCATTCTGCTGTAGATTCCATGCCCAGAGAAATCTTAAAGGCCCTGAAAATGAAGAAATATGGGTCAACACATTTCCTCATAGCAATAATTTTTTGCTTAGCCCGTTGAACACGTTTAAAATAATTATATTGTTTATTATTTATTGTTATCTTTATTAATTAAATTATTTTCGAATGAATATCTATGTTAAAATCAATGATATAACCTTTTTGTTACTAAAATTTGTGTATGAATTTATTCAAAATATTTTTAAAAATTTTCGAAGAATTGGAAAAAAAATTATTTGACGATTTATTAATGATAAATAGCATTTAATAAATTTAATTTAATAGGAAATTGAAATCCAATTTTTGTAAGATTAATCAAAATTTATTTCATCAAAAATAACGATTCGCTAAATCAAAATGTTTTCGTTATATTTTGCTTTTTTTTACTTAAAAATTATTTTTTATTTTTTAAAATGTTTTTTCATTTTTCATAAAACAAAATTGAATTTAAAAGTTTTAATTTTATCGATTTTTCGCATAAATTTCATGAAAAAATAAAATTTGATTCATTCAAATAAATTAAACGAAATCTAACGAATTAAAAATTTAATTTTTATGGTATGTAATTGTTGAAATAATATTAAGAAAATTGTATGTTAATATGCCTTTAAATTGCAAAATTTATTTCAATTTCCATGAACACCGCAAAATATCAATCAATTTTTTTATAAAATTATAAATTACATACAAAATTATAACGAAATGGGAAAGTGTTTTGGGACGATTTGTTCAAGAAAATCTCACAAAACAATATACGGAAAAGCAGACACCAACCTAGAATTCTAAGGCAGCCAGAGAATTTAGTATGCAATAAAGATTTTATAGCGAAGATTTTATTAATCAGGTTTATAGCGAAATTCGACGGGGTAATCAGTGGATTAAGGAAATATAAAGGCTTATTGATGTCAGATATTTCCAAGTGCCACAACAAAATTAGCACATTTTTGAGGCTTTTCTTGTCATGTAAGAAGGCGAAGTCTCTTCCGAAGCCTTTGTATAATTTTTCTCCTTTTATGATTTTGATAACTCGGCATTTTAACTCTCCTTTTTAGGCCACAGTGTGTACTTTGGCATTTTAAAACTCGTTATATTCCTTTGCCAACTGCTTAAAATTCCTTCGAATCCTCCTATACCTCTTCTTATTTGCCAAATAGCCATAGCCATTATTTTACATCACTCATCGTACCTGTTATTTTCGTTATACATCCATAATACTTCCAGTCCTTTATTCCAATCTTTTTTTAAATATATGGCTATATATACCGCAAAAATGCAGGATAAAATAACAACCGATAAAACAATAAATAATGAAAATTAATGATAAAAAAAAAAAAATATGACCCGTAAAGTAAAGAGGAAACAAAGATGAGCTAAAAAATAGCACAATTCGAAGTGAATGTATTACTTATAAATAATCGAATAGCAAAAATCAAGATTTCAAATTAGCGGAAACTTTCCTAAGCCTTTTTAAATAAATGATATTATCGAATTTTTTTAAAACAGCCAAGGATAACGCACAAACTACATCGTTTATTCCAGCAATTAATAGTGCGAAGTCATGAGTCCTTAATTTAGTTTTGCATATGGCTTTTAGTAATTTTAGCCCATTAGATCTTGTTGGGTTCAAATTTAACCTAAAATTGTAATATTTTGAACAATCTGACCTAAATTAACATAACCATTTAGAATTTTATAAGTATGAATTAAATCTTGTTTAATTCGACGAATTTATTGAAAGGGAATCCAGGTTCTATTGTTGAATTGTGTTTTTATAATTAAAATTATTAGGAAAGAGACAAGGTATAAAATATTTCTGGACTCCTTCAATTATTTTATTTGATTTGGTATGTCTCAGGGAGTAACAGGTAGTTTTATATTCAAGAAGAGGCCGAACGAACGTTTGTACATTTTGATAAGAAAACCTTCAGTTTTGTTCTTAAACGAACGAAAAATAAAATTTAATATTTTTGAGGATTTCTTTACTATAGTTCTGCAGTGAAGACTGAAGTCAAGATTTTCATCCACGATTCCATGCCAGGATCGGAAATATGTGACTCATCTGATTATGTTTATGTACACAACTGATACTGCTTTTCCATTATCAATGGATGCTAACCAATCGAAAAGAAATATTTGTGAAATAGATTTTTTCAAAGCCATGCTGTTAGGTGGATATCATGGGCACCAAAATAAATAAGCAACCAGTCAACCTTTCTTTAGCCTTTCCAGCACCTTGCTACCAACGCATAGGCTGATAGGCCTGTAATTGGAATGATTACAGGTGCTTCCTTTTTTATGAGTGAGAATTATACGAGATAATTTTCAATTCTTGGGATTAAGGCCAGACTTCATAATAACCTTACAAATTAGAAATAGAGGAAGACTCTGAGAGATTGCACATTTTTTATAAAATATTTGTGGAATATTATCAGGAACAGCTGAAATGGACGGCTCGAGTCTATTTAAGGCGTAAGACGTAATTTCAACCTCACAAAGAGAAGTTCAACTTCAATTTACATTGAAAAAAAATATTATGAATATTACCATCAACAAATACACTAAAGAAATTTTGATTAAATATATTTGCATTCCCAATCTACGTTTGATATATTATATATTAAGATCACCAGCAACCAGAATAAGCACCAAATAATTTTAGTCTAAATAACAGGTTGCGAAAATCCATAGTGAATTTACTTCCATAGCGAGGTGGGAGCGATGTGCAGATTTAAGAGAGAGATATTTCTGTTGTTATGGTAAATTTTAGTTATCAGAGATTCAAAGCAAAAATGATCATCAAAAATTATAAATTTGTAATAATCAGGAATAAGCGTGATAAAAAATTTTAACTTTCTTTTGGAAAAAAAAGTACTTTTTTGAATAAAGCTGATAATTTATAAAATTTTGAAAAATCCAATGATCCCACCAATGTAACGAAATTGCGCATAGATGCTCGGACCGCAAGATCTTCTGGCCGCGGCCACACTTTCCTTCATTCAGCTTTTCGGTCAAATGAATTTGCTCCACAGAGGTTATTGCTTATTTGCTCACTCGTTTTCCTTAAAAAGAAAAGTAGGACAGAAGGCGAATATTTATTCAAAGAGAATTTTTCCTTTAAAAAATTCAAATTTAATAAATTAATAGTTATTTTAGTATTCGTAATTATTAAAATTTATAATAATATTTTTAATAAAATTTATTTGAAACTTTTTGAAAAGTTCTTATAGAAATAATTTCTTTATTTGATGCAATATATTTAAATATAAATATTCAATTTGTATTTGCATATGTCGTTTCGATGATTCGTTTCACACTGTTTAACGATTTTCAGCGTAAAAAATTCATATAAATATATCGGATCAAATAATATTAAATTTTCTTCTTCAAACAGTTTTCAAACAGTATTATTGGTTGGGCTGGGTGCGCTGGCCATAGGGGTGAGACGTTTCTGAGACGTTCGATGGACGCCATCGTCGGCAGCAGTAGAAGCCATTCCTTCCTCCATCCTCCACCGTCTAAGTCCATGTGTCGCGGCTTCGTCTTTACATTCCAAATCTTTTCCTCAGTCCAGGTCCCTCATTTCTGACCCCATCCATCAAAGGGCTTAGCAAGTAATGGAATGTCAACTCTTGTGGTGGGCGACGAAAAACGTGCCCTAACCAGCAAAAGTGACGTTTTGTAATGGTAGTGTTGGTGTAGATGGTGTATGAGCGAAGTTCGGTGCAAACACGTGAGATTTTATCCGCTCGGCGAACCCTTAAAATATATCTTAGTAATGTCTAATTAAGAATCTCTTAATATTCTCCGCTATCATTGGCCATATTTCGCAGTCATTTAGCAACATCGAGTGAACTGCAGCACGGACTTTCGTTTTTATGGTGTTCTCGCTATGGCTTCAAAAAGATTTCGTCAATCGGAAATGGGCATTTCTGCCTACTGCCATCTAGGTTTTATTTCGTCTTTTGCCTGGCCAACTGGGATTAAAGTGAATCCAAGACATCTCTCAGCCTGCAATGAATTGATAAAAGTAGTATTTTGTCATTTTCTTATAAGACGAAACACTTTCGTTTTATTTTATACATTGTCTCTGAATCAGATTCTTGCTGCAGTTGACACATTGTTTAGAAATATTTGCATTTCGTCATAACTGTAAGTAAAAAGGACTATCATCAGTATTCAAGATCTGTGATGCGATGCGCTGGGCTGATTTATACGCCTCTTGAGTATCGACAAGCGATATCTATTATTCATCTATCACATGGTTAAATATTGTAATATTGTAGGGAAAAGGGTAGACACTTGACGGACACTAGTTCTTATTTCGAAAGGGTTCCCCATATTCACAGATGTACGCTGATAAAATGCCTTTATGAGTCGCATGATCTTCTCTGGAGCACCGTCACTTTCCATTATCTCTAAATCTCTGGCAATTTGTTGGTTAGGTTACTGCATCCTACAGTCTCGTACTATTCAATAGTAAATTAGGTAAGCAAAAATTTTCTTGGAAATGTCTAGGTGACTCCATTCCCCGGTATGTCCTTTCATCTTTCTTGAAATTTGGGAGCAGAATTACTTTGTTGCAGAGTCACCTGGTATAATTTCTTTCTTTCATACCAGAGATATAATTGATTGATGAAGATATCTGGAGGACGATGGACAACATTTCAAAATGGCTCGAAGACCATCTTCTCCAGAATAGTGGTATTTTGCTAATCTTAAGCTTCTGGCTAACAGAGATTCTTTCCTATTACGCTGGTGATTCGTAGTTGTAAACATATGGTTCTGTGAGCGAATCAGCTATGTTTGGGACAACACCTGGTCAATCATGGTTGAGTTTAAAATTTTCCTTCCATCTTATGGTCCTTAATAGTTTTAACAGGCACACCATTACTATCCTGTATCATTATTACGTTTCTGAATTGTAATTACTTTATGAAGAAAGCAGAATAACTTCCTATTATCGTCTAATCGAAACGTTCTCTCAATTTTTAAAGCCATATCACTCCAATTGTGATTTTTTTCCCGTTGTGCTACTGTGTTATTGCAATTCTTCAAGCATTTGTTTTATTAAATAATATTAAATAATTTTTTTAAAATACCACTTTCCTCGAAATACCACTATTTGAAGGATTTTTATTTTCAGTGAGAGTTTTATTTATTTTTGATTAAATGAAAATAGTTTACAGAAATCGATCGTAATGGCAGTTCATTTGCAATGGCTAGGATTAGGCGATAATAAAATCAATGAAACACTGAAAAATACATCGCTTACCGATTTGTTAATTAGTATTATTAATCTTGCAAAAAATCAAGTTAAAAATAATGAAGAAATTACAAAACAAATGGTAAATCATTTCTAACATTTGCTTTTAAATTTTCTTTTATTTTTATAATTTCATTTGAATATCGCTTTCGAATTTAATCACTTGATGGTGGTTAACTTTTCATTAAAAATAAAATCCGCGTGCTTGGTGTTCTGATTAGAGCCACTTTTATTATCAGCCAAATCTACATTTGATGATAGTTATTAACGAAATGAGTTTGCTTTTCTTCTATGAACAACTCGGTATGCTTCAAATATTTTCTCTTGAAAGTTAAAAATGAATTTCCAGTGATTGCCTTTTATTCAACCTTTGAATTTAATTTAAAATTATTTTTTATCGAGTAAAATTCATTCATTTTTTTATTTATTTATTAGGTAAAAATTTTGCGCAATTATTTGCTATATTTTTCTGTTAATTTTTTTTTAAACTAACGTTTTTTTCAGAAAATCTTATTTTATCATTTGGGAACTAAAATGAAACCGCAATGCCACCAGTATTTGCCATTAATTATAAGACACATTATCAATGGCAATATAACGAATGAACCTCGTTTAATTTTGGCAATAAATTATATTTTGTCGCATGTGGTTGATGGAATTGCTGAAGATGAATTATTGGCCGCTTGTGGTGCTGGGATCGTTGTAACTCCTGAAGAAATTGAAGATGAAGTTATTTTTATTTTAATCTTTATTTTTATTTTGATCAGTATAAGTAACATAACGTTTGCTGAAAATTGATGGGGCGGCTCAAAAAAATTTTTTGGTTTTTTTGGAATTTGTTCTAATTTTTTTATTCTAGCGAATGGATCTTCCTACAATGGTACCAGGCACTTTACGCACTTCTAATTTACACACGTGTATATATTACACGTTACGAATGAACCTATCTATCTCTTTTATCTCTTTTTCTATCTCTTTTTAAGAGCAAACTTCTATATTTAACGATGTTTTAGGTTGCTAAAATTATATCAAAATATAAAGAAGATTTATTGTCAAAACGATATAATTATAATGTTGGGAAAATTGTCAGTATGTTTTTTCATTTCAGAGAATTTTTTTTTCATTTCAGCAGTTTTAGACAAATACAAAAGAATATTTTATATGTTTGTCTGGGCTTTATGTTATTTTCTTTCAATTGGCCATTCAATCATTTTAAACCACTTTAGTTTTCCCTTTAAAGAATATGAAAAAAAGAATATGGTTGTCAAATTTTGACACTTTATTTTATATTTCAAAAATAATTTAAAGCAATCTTCATTTTCTTTAAATTATTGTGAATTTCTTACATCTTGCATTCTTGCATCGCCATTTAGGTGATGTAAAATCTGCTCTGAAATGGGCTGATGGTGCTTCTATTAAAAAAGAAGTGGACACTAGGATAATGTTGCTTTTGGGACCAAAAACGTTAGAAGAAATGATAGAATTGAATGATGATCGTGCTAAAAAAGTTAATAAATTTGCCAAGGACTCAAGGAAAAAACAAGCGATTTCCAATAATAAGCCAGAAGATAATTTTGGTGCAAAAATTGGTATTTTTTTATATTTGTCGCTTTTGTGCAGTTTTTAAATCCTTTAATTCAAATTGACCTTTAAGATAAAGAAGTAGATGGAAAGGTTGGTGTCTTTCTGTTAAAAACAAAAATGATATTTTTAACTTTATTCTTCTACTACTCTTTTAAGAATCTGAAGGAGCAGCAACAATCGAAGAATTAATGCGAAGAAAAGTGCATTTTCATAAGGTTTTTTCTATTTAATCGGATTTTGGATTTTTTTGCGAAATATAAAATCCCTTTATTTATTTTTTAAATCTATTAAAAATAGAGTGATTAAAGGTTGGCGAAAATTACAAAACTGATGGTTATATAGTTACTCCCAAAACTATGGAGCTGCTGAAAAAGCATGTAAAAGAAGTAGATGGAAAGGTTAGTGATTTTCTGTTAAAAACAAAAATAATATTTTTAACTTTTTCTGAAATCATTTGATTATTTGATTTTAAATGAAATTATAAAATTATCAAGCACAATTTTTATGCATTTAATTTTTATAAAATTACAAAACTAAGTCGTTTAAATTGAAAAGTTCAGGTTGTTACTCGTTTTCCACCTGAACCAAATGGCATTTTGCATATTGGGCATGCTAAAGCGATCAATATCGATTTTGGTTACGCTAAGGTTTTCTTTTTCACCAAAATGATCTTATTTTTTTCTTTTTTTAATTTTGGTCATAATAATATTGAGTTAATCGAATAATTCAATTTTTTTTCATGTTTTATGGTATAGGTGCATGGTGGTATATGTTATTTGCGTTTTGATGATACAAATCCAGAAAAAGAAGAAGAAAGATTTTTCAAGGATATTGAAGATGTCGTTCACTGGTTAGGTAAGACAAACTTTTTTTTCAGCCTAAAGAAAAAGTTCATTAAAAATAAAATTTTTGTCAATTTGTGGAAAATTAATTAAAGTTATCATATAGTGAACTTTGATGAAGTTTTGGCTTTGATTTATATACCATTATTTATGAATTCATTTATTAATTTAAAAAATCATTTATTTATGAATTATTTTTTCATTTTTATCTCTTCATTACTGAATTTTTAGGTTATAAGCCTTATAAAGTGACGCATTCTTCGGATTATTTTGATCAGTTATATGACTGGGCAGTCGAATTAATTAAGAAGAATTTAGCATACGTTTGTCATCAAAGAGTTGATGAGATAAGAGGATTTGAAGTTATTGAGTCACCTTGGAGGAACCGACCTGTCGAAGAATCTTTGCAATTATTTGAAGTTTATTTTGTTATTTTTCTTATTCCACTGTAGTTCCGTCTGTTGTAAAATCCGTGGTATTACGAAGTCTATTAATCGCAATGTATTTTTTGAGGATATGAAGCGTGGAAAATTCGATGAAGGTGCAGCAACATTACGACTTAAAGTTACACTAGAAGAAGGCAAAATTGATCCAGTGGCTTATAGAATAAAATATTGTTCTCATCCTCGGTCAGGAGACAAGTGGTAAGTGGTATGATGAAAGAAATTTATTATTACTTAATAATATAAAAAATTTCTTTTGATTATTGGGGATTATATTCAGTTATATGACTGGGCAGTCGAATTAATTAAGAAGAATATTTTATATTTTTTATATTTTTAAAGCGTTATTTTCTGCATTTTAATGGCTTTTCTATACTTTTTTTTCCAATTTTTTCCCTTTTGCTGAATTTGTTATTGTTCATTTAAGGTGTATCTATCCAACATATGACTATACTCATTGTCTATGTGATTCCATTGAAAATATAACTCATTCATTATGCACGAAAGAATTTCAGTCAAGGTTGGTAAATATCTTCATCTGCACTTTTTAATGTTGTAAATTTGTCAACTGCCATTAAATTTATATGAAAATTTATTCACATTCGTGTTATTTAACTCAAGATTGTGGTTTAAATTATTATTGAATTGAATTGTAACTGTTTTTGCTACTTAATAAGAAATTCAAGCAGAAATTATAATTTTATTTTTTCAAGGCGCAGCAGTTATTATTGGCTTTGTAATGCTCTTGATATTTATTGTCCTGTTCAGTGGGAGTATGGTCGATTAAATATGAATTATACGGTTGTATCGAAAAGGAAAATAAAAGCGTTAATTGATAATAAAATAGTCAGGTTACATTTTTTAACTTTCTGCTTTTTATTATTATGTTATATAAGTTCAAGCTTATGAACTTTTGCATAAAAGCTCACTGAAAGGAATAAATTCAGAATCAAGAAAGCAACAAAGCGTTTTTAATGAATAATTGTTTAAATATAACTTAATAACTTTTATTATAATATGGAATATTATAATAAAAGTTATTAAAAAGCAGATATATTTTAACTTATTTTTTTGGCCGCTAGAATTGTTTAGGGAGGAATATAGGGATAGATTTTATCATTATTTTTATCAGCGATTGGGATGATCCTCGTTTATTCACGCTTACTGCATTACGTCGACGTGGCGTACCTGCTGAAGCTATCAATAATTTTGTTGCTGGTTTGGGAATAACTGGTGCACAAATGTCCATTGATACCCACATGTTTGATGCAGCTATTCGAGATTATCTCAATAATACAGCACCTAGGTGAGTTCTGTAATTTGAGCTACTTTAGTCTAATTTTTATTTTCCAAGTTTTTGGCATTTTAATGATAAAAATAAAAATGAAAAATTTCAGATCTATGGTTGTATTGGAGCCATTAAAGGTAATAATAGAAAATTTTGACGAACTTTCACTTCCATCAACAATTGAAATCCTTGATTTACCATCTGAAACTGACAATTCTGCAAAACATACAGTCCGCGTTGATAGAATCATTTATATCGAACAGTCGGATTGCCAACTGGTAAATCTCAATTCAACGATCTAATAAGATTTGATGCAATATGTAATCAAATGCAATCAAATTAAATTCTATGTAATGGAAGAAATGAGTTTGATTATACATTAATGGTTAAAAATTAGAATATTTTCATACTATTTTTTTCTTTTTCCTGGTTTGAATGTTAACTTCATAGGTCAATTTTCGGTTTCTTCTTTGTAAAGATTTAAAGACATTTATGTTTAAGATTTATTTGAATTCAAGTTTTGGCTTTTTTATAGAAATTGTTTTTAGGAAAATGCTGGCAAGGATTATCGTCGATTATCAAAAACTCAGTCGGTCGGTCTGAAGCACTTAGGACTTGTTTTAACTTACTTAAAAGATATCAAGGTTATTTCGATTTGATTTTAAGAATATCTTCGTTTCGAAAAATTTTATTTTGATTTTATGAAGTTTTGGCGAAATTTGGTTGATTATATATGTATACTTTCTTTTTGTTCTAACAGCTGTACACCATTAATGGTTGTGCTGGTTCTGCTAGCTACATGGATAAGACGTTTTCAAGTTGTTCGATTCGACACCATCGCTGACAGTAATGGAAATCATTCCTTTTTTCACTATGTAAATACATATATCAGTGGTCCATCTGTACATTTAAAATCTTTCCTGGCTATATCGGTTCAGGTCTTGATTGGCTCACCTCGCCTGTGATGGCATCCATTATAATGTTTATCAAGTAGTTTACATATATATATATGCTATCAACTCTTAAGGATGATTCAAACAAAACAGTGGAGGTCGTGGTTCATGGTTCATACTTATCCAGTGAAAATAAACCAAAAGCATTCATTCACTGGGTAGCGAAGCCTGTATCATGTGAAGTTCGGCTATATGGACGTCTGTGAGTTTTTTCTTTTTTTCATTTCTGAACTTTATTTTTATTTTTTGAAACTATTTTAAATCTTTTCAGTTTTAAACATAGACACCCTGAAGACCAAACTGAGGTGCCAAATGGATTCCTATCAGACTGTGATCCCGTATGTTTTCTATTTATAATATTTTATATATATATATATATATATATGTATTTATATATATATTTATATATATTTACAATAGGCTTTATTTTAAACAAAAATTTCATGTATTAATCTAGATTTTTCCTTAATTTTTAATTGGCAGTTTTTCTAAATTTTTATGGAAAAAATTGTTTATTTATTTTATTTTCTTTTAATGATATTTTAGTATTATTTAGTTACACATTGGTTATTTAATGGTTTCTTATTAGGTTTTTTTGTTTAAGGATTCCTTGAAAATAATGGAGCCAGTGTATATTGATCAGTCAATCGCTGGTTCAAAAGTATATGATCGTTACCAATTTGAAAGGATTGGATTTTTTGCTGTTGATCGAGAAAGTACGCTGTCAAAGGTATCTTTTTTTATTCAAAGGTTTCTTTTTTTTTAAAAAAAGCTATCATCATTACTGGTTAGATTCGCTTCGCTGGCTTGTCGTACTAGACAAATTTGCCGGGAAGTCCTTAGCGATAGAAATATAGGTGAGTCGCCAGCACAGCCCGGATTTTTGGAAAGGTTTACTCCAGCGAGTTTTCCCGCGTTAGTTAGTTTACTTAATTTTGTCTTCCTCATTATTTTCATTTTTTCCAAAATTTTTTTTCAGCTAATTTTCAACAGAATTGTCAGTTTGAAAGAAGATTCAGGAAGAAATAAATGAATATCGTTTTGTTGATTTTTTTCTAAATGACACTGACCAACAAAGTGAAAAAAAAAAATTCGAATAGTTTCTTGGAGATTTTGTTAGGTTCTTTGAGGTAATATTATCATAAATATCACTTTAAACGTATAGTTTGGCATTATGAATATTGATAATTTTTCCATTGTTTTTACTAAAATCATTGGATATATAATTTTTTCTTACATAGTATTTGTTCTATGTTTGAGGCCAATCTGCACTTGTGATTTTAGACTTTATCGTATTGGCAATCAGGCATTATATTCTCTTTAAATTAAATTAGTATAATGTTTTAAATTAGTATAATATTTTTGAAAAGTTCAAGACTCATAGCAAATCAGATGAAAAAAATTTCAGTATAATACCAAAATTTGAAACATAATATCAATCTAATTTATAACTATTATTTGGAATATTGTTTTCGCTATATTCAATTGACTTGTTATTTTTATTTTTTTAATCGTAATTTTATTCATCACGGCTTTTAAATTTGCCAGTTTTGCCTTAAATGCCGACTATCATATTTTTTAATGATAGGTCTTCTTTTCTCAGGTCAAATATTTTAATCGAATAGTGTTCTAGCAAATAAAAGATCTCTCAGACATTTACTGTGGAACCATTCGACATGAACCATTTAAAATGTAGTTTAGTAGTTTGTTGGAATTACTTAACATTGTAGCAAATATTTTCTACAGTTAAGAGATTATTTAAAATGGAAGATTAAATCAAAATTTCAAAAATCAAAATTTCCTTTAATTTATCTGGGGAAAAATTTTGTTTATAAATTTGCATTATTTTTTCGTGATTGCAATTTACTGAATCAATTAAATATCAACGCATGTGAGAAACTTTTATTGAATAAAACAAAATAAAAATTACCCACATTATTTAAGCAAAGAATTTATGGAATAGGGCGGATAGGGGTTTTTTATTCATTACGCTTATAGAAGTTGGGGTGATGCTGGCGATTCACTTGTATTTCTATCGCCAAGGCATATACTCCCTGGCATATTGTCCAATGCGAGAAGCCAGTGGAGCGAGTTTAACCAGTAATGGTGAGGACTCTTAAAAAAAAAAGCGATTATGGAAGTGTTATGGTTTCGGTTTAGGAGTCGCAGTAAGATGAGATAAAAGGTAAAATCTGAGTGATTAGACGGACATATCAATCTTTAATCAACTTATATCCTATTCGATAGGAAAATTATGAAAAAAATTTCTCAATTGTCTCAAATCTTTTTCTTTCCCATCCATTTTCTTTTTTTTTGCTAAACTTAACTAAGGTTCGTGAAAGATTTATCAATTTTGTTACAATTATTGTTAGCGATCGGTGGATTCCATTCGATTTGTTTCAGTTCATTTTTAAATATTTATTTTTCTCTGATTCAAAACTTATAAAGTTGAAAATTGTAAGTGAATAATGATGAAACAATAAAAAATTTTTCTATAAAATCATTCTTTACACAGAAATTTATTCGCACCGTTTTAGTAATTTTGGTTTTGTGCTGAAATGCGTCCGTGCATGCATCCACGCATCCGTGCACGCATCCACGCATCCGTGCACCTACATTCATTCGTCTTTGGTTTATTTCTTGAAAAATTTTTTAAAAGTATAAATTTATTTTTTAAAATTTGTAAAGTTCCATTGTCGTCGGAAATATTTTCGATAACGACGACGACGTTCTCTTTGTTAATCGTTTGAACTAAAATTGTACTTTACTCTTATTCTCTGCGAATAAAAATTCCCTTTTTTTCGTATAAATCTTGTAATTTATATGAAAATTTCAAATAAATTATTAATCGTCTCGGCATAGAACATTCTTCTTTCTTAATTTTCAGTACCAATTTGTTATCTTTCAATGAAATCAAATGAACTGAAAAGTGATTTAAATCTTTTTTTACGAAATTCCAACAAATTAAATTGTATTATTTCTGTTATCGTCCGACAATCAGTTTGCAAATTCTTCTTCAGTGACAGAATCTTTTTAACAAATTGAAATAAATAATATAAAGCGCCGACCTCAAAGAATCTAAAATCTTTACCGCCTTTTAAAAATCTCTAATTTCATGAAAATTCGAAATTTATAATTCATCATCGGAAATCGGCAATTGTCAACCATTGTATATGCATATTTTGTGTAAATTGTTTTGTTTACACAAAAAAGCCTCACCTCATCCCTTGTGCGTGGAACTAGTCACCTCGGGTTCTCTATTACAGGCCTTGGAGATTGACGTTCCCCCTCTCCACTTAACTCTTAACTCCTCGTACCAATACGCTGTTCCAGAGATCTCTGTTGAATTTGTGAAAGTTGCTTTTCTTGTTTAGCGGTCAAAGGGCTTCCAAGTGCTCCAATCATCACTGGGCTACTTTGGCCTTCACTTTCCATCTTCTCTAGTTCTTCTTTCAGCCCTTGGTATTCTCTAATTTCCTTCTTCCTAAAATTCTGACACTTGATATTGCTATATTTATCACCAGTGTTGGTTTCTGATTCTTGTCTATTATCATGATATATAGTGGATTGGCCAGTACTTATTTGCTTTATTTGTCTGTCTGCATGGAAAGCTCCACAGAATCTTCGTTTTATTATTCTCCATGATTTTCTGAGGAATTTCCCTTTCTCCCATCTTGAGGAGATCTAAACCACATATAGAGATATCCGTGAAGACAATGCCAACCACTTGGTTATGCTTTTATGTTATTTGCTTCCAGTCTACATTCTGCCACTACGTGTTGGTCAATTTCTAAGGCTTTTTTGCATAGTTCGAATTTCAACCTTATTTCAACCACTAGTAGAATTTTCCACTGTCACTCACTTTGTCGACGGTGCATCCCATGGGGGACTTCGCCTTGCCATGATACTTCCTCTGCTTGATTTTTTCCGGCGTCTGTTGATGCTTCAGGCATTCCCTCATCCTTTGGTGCCATCTTTCTTCTTCGATTTCGTTCAGTGGCTTTTATGTGAATCCGAAATCCAAAATCGAATTAATTCACTATCAAGAAATTTAGGAAACTTGCCTCGACTGAATTTTTTTTGCTTCAGAACGATGCACTTTTTTTGAAAATCAAATAAGTTGGCTTTGTTGGAGAATAAAATACTATTGTTAATTTTTAATAAAAATTGGTGAAATATTCATTTTTTTAGAAATTCTTTTGTAGGAAAATATTTCGAGGATATTTCACGCATTATTTCAATAAAAAATATTCATTAAAGAAAATATCTTATTTTTTATGGTTTAAAAGAATTATATAATCGTTAATTACATTCTTCATTACGCGAACTTGTTTTTAGATTTCATAAAATTATTTTTTTTAGCATTGAAAAATTTGAAAATAATTCGTAGAAATGCATTTTTCACTTCTTTGTTTTGGAAAATTCTGAGAAATAAAAAACATTCCAAATTGTTTAAAATAAGAAATAACAATTTAAAGACAGAATTTTTTAAAAAAATGATTGTTTAACGGAAAATTAGCGAAAAATCTGCAAGGACAATATTTTAAATTTTAGATTTTTTTTATTAAATCAATTTCAAATTAAATTTCAAAAAATTATTTAGAAAGAATATTTTTGGAATTTGCAAAAAGTTTCCATTTTTTCCAAAAAAACTTCAATTTTCCGTAATTTATTTTTTTTTCAAAGCAGCGGTATGCTGAAAAGATCGGAAGATTTCGAATTTGGCCACAATAATATTTCTTGGGGCCTAAATTTTTGGCAACGGAATAACATTTTGGATTTAGCGTACTTCGCCAATTTTATTGGAAAATGGTAAATTAAAAACAGTATTTATGATTTTCATTAAAAAATTTAACTTCCAACATTTACTTATCGTTTATTAATGAAAAAAACTCATCGATAATTATTATAAAGTTTTTTCGAAAACGAAAATTATTAAAACATTTCATCGCAGTAAATTTCGAACATAAATTGTGTTAACTCAATTTGAAATTCGTTTTAATAAATTTTTAATAAGTAAAAAAAAAATTTTATTTCTTTGGTTTCGCAAAAAATTTGCAGGAAAAATTCCCTTACACACCACCGATTTAAATTAAAAAAAATTCCAAATATTTTTTCGTTCAGTTTTTTAAATATTCTCCTAAATTCTATTTAAAAAATTTTTTAAATATTTTGTGTTTTATTTTTGTTCATCGGGAAGGAAAATTGTTTAAGAGGCCGTATTATATCCAACAATGGTGGTGGTGGGGGGGGGGGGGGGGGGGGGGGGGGGGGGAGTGGGATAGCCGAGTGGCTGGTGGCTTAAATCATCGTGTTTAGGATCAGTGGTTCGGCTTCTTCCACCGACGGAAATAAACTTATCGTTAAAAAAATCCCGTGTTGGCGAGATGCTTGCGTTTCTTTCCCGAGCTGTTTTTTATTTATCTATTTAACCTTTTTCTTTGTCCAGTATATTTTCTTTTGGACTTTTTTAATCGATTTTAGAAAAATTCGATGAAAAAAGTGCAAAATCAAATTCTTTCATTTATAAGGTTTTATTTTATAAATAATATTTGTAATAATAAAGAAAAAGAGGCAATATTCTAGTAAATATATTTTATAACACTTTTCCATGGAGATTTTATGAACCAAGTTTGCCCCGCAAGCAGTTAATGCGATAGGAGATTCTTGGTAGGGAATCTCTTCGCCAGGTGAGTCGTTAGTATCGCCCGAATTTTTCAACGAGCACTTCTCTAGTGGGGAATACAAACCGAACCTTCCGAAGCACTTCCGAAGCACTTAGTCGAAATTTTATAAATTAACAAATTTAATCAATCTTATATTTTTAAATTATTCATTATTTATTATTTTCAAAATTTTTTTATTTTTTAGTTCCATTTTTATATATTTTTATTTCTTATCAATTTGAAAAAAATTGTTCATTCAAATTGTAAACTCATAATTTTTATTTTTTTATTATTATTAGTGAAAGGAAAATAAATAAAATAATTTTTCAGTTCAGTAAAAACTTTTCGTTCAAATTTTATTGAATTT